TTGTTGTGAAAAAAACATACTGGATGGATATTTACAAGAAAGAACTAATTAACTTTCTAAACTTTCTCCTCGCTTTAATAACCAATAAAAATCTTCTTAATGCCACTTTCAAAAATATTGTCATCCACATCAAATTCTAGGTTCCTATGCCTTAAATTGACATAAATTTTTGCATCTCCCCTGTGCATACACATGCACGATCTCATTAGTGTTTTGAACAACCTCTATTCTTAACAATTTATTCTCACCCACCTTAGTATGCTTGAGACTTCCATTATTTTTCATACAAAGTCTCAAACGGTGTCATGTCACTTGCAGACTTACTTGAAAGTTTTTGGTATAGGCGAGTTCCATGAGAATGCAATTTGGAGGCCCAATCCCAGAGCTTCAATGGCTGACAACCTTCACACACGCTCTCCTAGTCTCGAGCTTACACACCAACCTAACAATCACCAAACAAAACCACCAAATTTTCGAACACACCTATTCCTCGGTTTTCTGTGCTTTTCTTTTCCTCTGTTCTTCGTTTTTAAACCCACACCAACACCCTAATCGTTTTCCACTACCAACTTACCAACTCTTACAACTCTTCAACACTCCAACACCTCCAGCTCACATGTACCAATTTCCTTTTCCTCCTGCAGCTGCTGACATATTATATAATCTTTATGATGACTTAATTTTCAAGTAAAGAAGCTATCCAAAATAGAAGCTATCATAAATAAATAAGTTTTAGGATCGTTATTGGTTTTCAAGTAATGAGCCCTAAATCAAGATGAGCTCTAGGGTAAACCTTGATTTTTAAGTAATAATGCTGCCAGCTAAATCAAAATGAGATCTAGGTTAACTCTTAATTTTCAAGGAATTTTGATACTACCTCAACCTAAGTTTTAGGGATAACCCTTTAATTTTTAAGTAATCAAAATGCTACTCTACATTAAGATGAGCTTTAGGTTAGCCCTTGATCTTCAAGATGGTGCCTTAAATCAAGATAACCTTTAAGTAGTCTTTGATTTTTAAGTAATCAATATGTACAACCCTAGGTTATGAATCAAGTCAAGTAAGTGTACCACACACCCGTACCCTAAAGTAGCACTACACAAGTCCTAAGTCCACTAAAATATGAAGACGGCTAGGTACCACTCAAGAAACAAGAACCTGAGTACCAGAACTAAGAACCTAGACCAAGGATCAATGACAAGAAACTAGGATCAAAATCTAAGTTCTCAAACTAAGAACTCAAAATGTCATAACCAAGGTCCTTAAATTAGAACCAAAGGTAAAAAAACTCAAAATCTATGACCGAAGTCCTTCTGCCAAAACCATGATAAGAACTCAAGAATGAAGAACAGAGCATAAGGATCTAAGTTCTCAGGACAAAAACAAGAACCTAACAAGAGATGAGTGTAGTACTGTAGCATCTATCATAGCACGATTAAAACCTACAATTAAACTATTTACTGAGTTTTTGTACTCATTCAAGTTTTCTCATGTTTTTCAGGTGACAAGAAGTAGTTGGTCGAGGATGGAAGCGGATTTGGAGAACGTGTCATATAGAATCACACGAAGTTTTCAACTACTTAAGATTTCAAGTTGTTTTGTTTACTAGGCCCAATTTATTTGTACTCATTAAATTTATTTTGGATTTTTAATAAATGTATTTATGTTTTTGTATTAAAAAAGAAAAAAAATTACCATTTTACCATCCGTCTTTTGTCTTTCCACATTTTAATGAGTCACGACTCAAATCAGAAATCAAATCATGACAGGAGTCCTAATTAATATCATGTCACAACTACCTGTACTTAAATTCTAATTCATTTTATGTTTTGAAATTCTAAAGTACGAGAATGAAATCCTATAATTTTTTTTTGCCACAAGATTACAATCAATAAGGACGTAAGAGTTTCCATGGAAATGGACAAGAACAGCTCAAAAGCTTGTGCCCCAAATAGTCTCATCAACGACTTTCCCTTTCTTAAGATTCGACCTCCACTACTTTCTTAAGATGAAGCCTTATTTATAGCCATGAAATAGTGTTAGTGTTGTTGATGTTTATGTAAGAATCTCTTACTACAATTTGATTCATGGTTACAAAGTTCCTCAATCTGTTTTTTGCTAAACTTGTGCAAATTCAGTCGGATAATATTAGGGCACGCTACCTTCTAACAATGCGCTAGCTTACTTGCTTTAAGTTACTTCTTGTACAAATGCATCGAACACTTTTTGATAAAAATATACTACTCGTACACGTAAGTGACACATTTAGCTTCGACATAGTTTCAAGTCCTTTACTTTCTCATGCTTATAGAATTTGAAATAAATCATGTCTTTTGAGAAATAAGTTATATAACTCTTGAAACCAAAAGTTATTAGTATTAGTGATACTATTGGATTTATTTTAGGTTAGTTTGAGGTTTAAAGAGTGGATTTCATTAGATATGAGGTTGGAAATAGACCGAATTTATATCACCCTTTAATTTGAATTAGCAAAAGCAATGTCTCCTTACCTAATATGGATTCCAAACATTTGCGACCTAGATGTGAATGAGTCGAATTACTTATCTCTTAGTCTATTAGTGAACTATCTCTCCGGGAATTGTGAAAAATGTTTCCCTAGAAATATTTTTGTTATTGCTTTGACCTATATTCCTCAAAAAGTGGATCCCGCTCTAGTAGCTCCGAATAAAATAAATACATCCATTAAAATACGAAGGGTTTTTATTCCACGACAACGAAAGCACTTTTTTACTCTTTCATATACTAGGGGATTTCACTTGGAAAAGAAAATGTTCCATACTAATGGATTTGGTTCCATAACCATGTGTTCCAATGTACGAGATATTGTAGCAGTTACGATTGAGGCCCTATCGATTAGTATTATGTAGAAGAAATCAATTATGTACACTAATACAATTAGATCTGTTCTTCATAGACAAATTTAAGATTTGTGATTCTAGATAAGATCGGTTGAGGATGATTTTGTACAAGAGCTCTTTTCCGCATGTGTCGTGAATATCTTTTCTAAGTCCCTTTTAGAAATATTTTCCACTACCTTCCACCAGAGGCAATTGAAACGTTTTCCATTTATAGCTTATCACACCTATCTAACTTCTCATATGCAGTGAATAATGAGCTGCCTTTATAACTTTGTCGAGTAGTATCACTATCAATTCACCAGCCTTTGATGTCATATGCTGTATTTATCTCGAAACAGATACCAACTAAATCATTAATAATACTCTGGTTGTTGGAGTTTGGTCCATTCTTATGTCTTTAAACTATTCTTATACGGTCATTCTTCGTGTAAAAAATTATAGATAAAGCGTGGAAGGAGACGAATGAATAGTTCGAACATATGTCCTCGTGCTTAAAGTCTTAACAAAAATCAGCGAAGGAGTATGTGAGCGAGGGTTTGAAGGGACGCACACTCATGCGACGAAAAGAGTTCAAAAATCAACATCCAACGAGTGTCGAACATCCGACCTCGCGCGTGTGGAAATTCAAAGAAAACACAAACGATTTTTCATGTTCGGTCGGATTTGAACTCTCGCCTAGGTGCGACTGAACAAGGTTGGAGTGCGTAGATAGTTGCGCGTGGTTGCACACAGAAGACCCCTGGTGGCATGTATAGGCACCTGGGTAAGTTGTTTTTCCCACGTTGACCTCTTTTTATATACTTTTTTATTCAATTTTGATGCTAATCCTATTTTTTTTTCTTTTAAGATTCACTTGGAAATTTTTGAAAATTTAGAGCATTGGACAAGTTAGCCCCATAAACTAGTTTAGAATGTTTTGGAAATAAGAATTCAAGTTATAAACCGTCAAGATACTTTAAGTTCCTAGTTTACCACCACCATAATCACGAAAATAACGTAAACAATATCACAAGAGATAAGACCAATTTCTATTCCCTTGTGTACCATCTAGTAATGTCTATGACTTAGTTTGGTTAGATGAGATAGTGTATAGAAGTTATTAAAACATCAACAACCTCAAATTAAATTCAGTTGTTCAAAATGTTACAAATAGGGAAATGAGTTTGAAATACAATTATAAAATAAGATACAAAAGATTCCAAAATGTAAAAAATAGACTAACGCTTCGTGACGGCATAACTCTCTAACATTCCTCCACCTCTACTAGCAGCTTATGAACACCTAAAAAAGAAAGGGGAAAAAGAGTGACTATAGAAGTAAACTCAGATTGCATTCATGACCTAGCAGGTGCACACAGGCTTTTTCTTTAGGTTTTAGGTGTATTGCTCTTGTTGTGCACAGTCTTGAGTAGCTAGCTTAACCTACGCAGTGGTAACCGGTACCAAAGATGGGGCGCTACCTCCATAGACTCTATACCAGGTGGGGACAACATGGAGAGTGCTAGTCTGCTCATCATCCACGAGAGGTTATTTGACAAGCCCATCCAACAACAAGCATGTAGTCGCCAAAGGTTGGGGGCACTATCCCTGATACGTGCCAGCTCCACTGGGTATCCACATGATCAAGGCCCTCTCGTAGGACGGATTCCCCATGTAAGATAACCACTAACTACCCCACATGATCAATGCTCTACTACAGGACGGATCCCCCATACAAGACAATCCTCACATGATCAACACCCTACTACAAGACAGATCCATCATGCAAGGTAGTCTACCAAACTACTGAGTCACATAGAAATTCTCGAGAATGTTTGCTACCCGGAAATTGTTTGGTCTTTCCTGACTCACTCGAATAAGAAGAAAAAACAAATGGAATGGGATCAGCGGAGATCCAGTATTTTCTGAATCCTTAAGGAATTACAAAAGAAATTCTTTCACGCTCGTTAAGTAATTATTTTCCTTCAATTAAACTTGATATTTTTTTAATTTAGGGATATTTTTTATTAGTTTAGTCTTTACAAAAATAAAAAAATAAGCAATAATTTTGGGCATGGGTAAGGGGTGGAGTGGTACCCACATGTAGGCAAAAGGCACAGCATATAATATCAATCAAACATGAAAATGTTTCCATTGAAATCATCAAACAAACCTAATGGATTTTCTCTCTGTTTTCCTGCTCCTCCTTCTTGTTTTCCTTTTCCTGCAACAATTCATTACCCGCCGGCGAAATCTCCCACCGAGCCCACCGTCTGTTCCGATCATCGGCCATCTCCACCTCCTTCAACGACCAATCCACCAGAACTTCCACAACATCGCCGCCAAATACGGACCCATTTTCACTCTCCGATTCGGATCTCGCCTTGCCCTCATAGTCTCTTCACTCCAACTAGCCGAAGAATGCTTCACCAAAAACGATGTCGTTTTCGCCAACCGTCCTCGTTTGCTCATCGGCAAATACCTCGGCTACAACTTCACCACCATCTCCACCACACCTTACGGCGACCTCTGGCGAAACCTTCGTCGGCTCACCTCTATGGAAGTCTTTTCCACGGCGCGTCTCAACGCAGCTCTCAGCATCCGTAAGGATGAAATCCGGCGATTGTTGGTCAAACTCCATTCCGAATCGTTTGCTAAAGTGGAGTTGAAATCGATGTTTTCAGAATTGAGTTTCAACGTTGTGATGAGGGTTGTGACCGGAAAACGGTACTTCGGAGAGGAGGTTTCCAATGAAACAGAGGCGAGGGAGTTCAGAGAGCTTATGGATGAAATATCGCGTCATGGAGGAGCGTCGAATTGGATCAATTTCATGCCGATTTTGAAATGGATTGGGTTTGGTGAATATGAGAAGAGTTTGGCCAAATTAACGAAAAGGGCCGATAAATTTATGCAGAAATTGGTTGAATATCGCCGGAATCAGACAGGATTTGAAATAGAAAAACAGAGTACTCTGCTTGATCGGCTTCTGGAACTTCAGGCATCTGAGCCGGAATATTACTCCGATGAGATCATCAAAGGGGTCGTTCTGGTTTTGTTGCGTGCCGGAGTTGACTCAACCTCTGTGACCATGGAATGGGCAATGACTCAATTACTCAACAATCCGGAGGTGATATCCAAAGCCAAAGCCGAGATCGATACCAAGATCGGTCGAGATCGACTCGTTGATGAATCAGATCTCGCCAACCTCCACTACCTTCAAGCCATTATTTATGAGACCTTCCGATTGCACCCTGCAGCGCCGATGCTCCTCACACACTATTCCTCCGATGACTGCACCGTCGCAGGCTACGACATTCCTCGTGGGACGATGTTGATGGTCAATGCTTGGGCAATTCATAGAGACCCCAAGCTGTGGGATGACCCCATGAGCTTCCGACCTGAGAGATTCTTAGGGGCAGGGAATGAGTTGCTGTCGAACAAGTTAGTTCCTTTTGGGATGGGAAGGAGGGCTTGTCCTGGGGAAACTATGGCGCAAAGGTTAATAGGATTGAGTTTGGGGCTATTGATTCAGTGTTATGAGTGGAAGAATGTTGGATATCAAAAGGTAGACATGACTGAAGGTGGAGGTATCACCATTCAAAAAGTTCAGCCTCTGGAAACCATGTGTAGAGCTCTCCCAATTATGGATAAAGTTCTATCAAATGGTTTGGACTAAATTTCACCAAGGTTTGCTTACCGCCTTCTTCTAGATGTATGTAGAAGTAGGTAGAAGATGTCTGTTTCGTGTCACAGCATGCTAGTCCATGCCCATGCCAACCACTTTAGTTAATTCCATGTTGTATTATCTCATTTTCTATCTGTATAGGTCTACTCTACTTGAATCGCCCAAAATGTACTATAAAAGTGTGACTCGTTGTCAACTCCTCCCCTGATTTTGTATGATCTTTCGGCGAAATTAAGTTTAAGTCTGCCAGACCTAAATCGTCTCAAAATATACTGAAGAGAGATGCAACTAGTTGTTAGGGGATGCTATTAGCTGTCAAATTCTCCATACCTGAAAAGTTATATGTTACTTAGTCGTTGTGCTACCTTTTGCTGGTATGCCATATAACATTGCTTTCAATCTCTCTCAACCTTGCTTTCAAAATCTAAGTGCCCCATTTAATGCTCAACCGTAGCGAATACAAATTAACGTGACTCACTTGATGTTGAGAGTGAGTACCGCATAATCGTGATGTTCGTTGATATGGAAATCAACCCAAGAGAAAGTATGGAACGGATTACCTTGATGATCAAGATCAAGAGTAAAGAAAACTCGTTTCTAAACTCGTGATTTGAATCACTCCACAAGAGATTTGATCAATACCACTTGAATGACTTTACATGCAAGTTCTAAACCTAAGAATTTGCAAAGAAAGTTTTAGCGGTCAACAAAGCTAAAATAGAAATTGCGGTCAACAAAGCTAAAATAGAAATTCTATTCGTAATTCCAAAATCTGATGTTTAATCAAAGAAAAGAAGATTTATATAGCCTTTACAACTTTAATTATGTGATACATAACTACCCAAATTAAATGAGCTAGTAAACGAGAAATACTCCACCTCCATATTAAAAATTAAAATGGCTAATTAATGGTGGGCTAGTTAATGATGGAATATAGTAACCTACCTGAGTTGTGTTATAACCTTAACTCCTATATTTAAAACTAGCTGAAATATGACAAACAAATAGTTAAACTATAATTAAATAATGCAATTAATAAAATGTGCTTATTAGTCATCCTTTGAATAGTTTCATAAATTCAACGGAGTTCATTAAATGCAACTTAAAGTGCATTTAATTCATCTCTTTCTTGAAGCTCGACTTTGCATAACATATAAGGGAGGTCTCCAACGTCTTCTAGAATTTCCTTTGATGAGCTCATCATAGCTTGAATATAACTGTATAAGGTTTGTTGTAGCTTCTTGGCTCTCGTCCTTGTAATTGGACCTTGAGGTATGAAAATTCCTTGGTCGTGGTTCATATCATTCTCCCCCTCTTGAGAAGGATTCGTCCTCGAATCCAAGCCATCAGTTACATCAAAAGGACTCAAATCAACAACATTAAAAGCTGCACTAACACCGTACTTACTTGGAAATCAGTTTTATAAGCATTGTCGTTGATGCATTCAAGAACTTGAAAATGTCCATCTCCTCGTGGTAAAAGCTTAGATTTTCTTTAAGTAGGAAATCTTTCTTTTCGGAAATGTACCCAAACCCAATCTCCTGGCTTGAAGATGACAATCTTACGTTCTTTATTAATTCGGGTGGAAACCTTGGAATTTTGTTTCTCAATTTTACTTGCTTGTGCAGTTTATGAACAAACTCAACCTTGGCATTTGCATCAAAATTCACAAACTCTTTTGACGGTATAAGTAACAAGTCAATGGAGGTTAAAGGATTAAAGCTATAAACATGCCAAAAGTGGCTTAAAAATTTTACATCACGGTCACTAACGATGCTTTTAGGAACGTCATGTAATCGTACAACTTCCCTAAAGAACAAGTCAGCAATATGTTTTGCATCATCAGTTTTGTGACAAGGAATAAAATGAGTCATTTTACTAAATCGATCAACCACAACAAAGATGCTATCATAACCTTTCCTAGTCCTAGGTAAACCTAAAACAAAATCCATTGATGTATCAATCCAAGGACCATTAGGAACTGGTAATGGGGAGTATAAACCATGTGGTTGAAGCCTAGATTTAACTTGTTTACATGCTATGCAACAAGCACAAACTTTATGAACATCATGTCTCATTTTAGGCAAAGAAAAATGTTTAGAGAGCATATCATAAGTTTTAGAAACTCCATGGTGTACCATTAAACCACCTCCATGAGCTTCCCTCACAAGTAGCTCACGGATCGAACAAGATGGTATGTAAAATTTGCCTTTTCGGAACAAAAATCCATTTAACAACAAGTAATTATCCACAATGAGTCCCTTTTCACAAGATTCAACAAAAGGAGCAAAAGAACATGTCATGTTGATACAAATCCTTTATGTGTTCAAAACCCAACAAGCTAGCATTCAAAGTATTAAGGAGGACATACCTTCGTGATAAAACATCTGCAACAATGTTCTCCTTACCTTGTTTATATTTTATGACATAAGGGAATGTTTCAATAAATTCTAACAACTTAGCATGTCGTCTGTTGAGTTTATTTTGTACTCTCAAATGCTTTAAACTTTCATGATCCATATAAATAATGAACTCCTTAGGCCAAAGATAATGTTGTCATGTTTGCAATGCATGAACCAAAGCATAAAGCTCTTTGTCATAAGTTGGATACCTCAAAGATGCCACCAGTCAACTTCTCACTGAAGAACATTAAAGGTCTTTGATTTTGCATTAATGCACCACCTATCCCTACTCCACTAGCATCACATTCAATTTCAAAAGTAGACTCAAAATTAGGTAATGCAAGCAACGGAGCAGAACTCAATTTTTCTTTCAAAGTTTTAAAAACAAGTTCTTGATCTTTTTTCCATATAAAGGATACATTTTTCTTAACAAGTTCATTCAAGGGTGAAGCAATTGTACTAAAATTCTTAATGAACTTAGGGTAGAAACTTGCAAGACCATGAAAACTTCTTATCTCACTTACATTTTTAGGTGTAGGCCAATCTTTTATAGCCTTCACTTTCTCCTCATCAACCTCAACACCATTAGATGAAACTACAAACCCAAGAAAGTTAACTTTTTCCATGCAAAAGCTATATTTCTTTAAATTTATGTGCAAACATTCGTTTCTTAAAGTAGTCAAAACATTGCATACATGGGTAATATGATCAGCTAAAGATTTAGAGTAAACAAGGATATCGTCAAAATAAACAACCACAAACTTACCTAAGTATTCTCGTAAGACATGGTTCATTAGTCTCATGAATGTACTAGGTGCATTAGTTAATCCAAAAGGCATAACCAACCATTCATAAAGACCATACTTGGTTTTAAAAGTTGTTTTCCACTCATCCTCAATATGCATGCGAATTGATGATAACTCGATTTTAAATCAATCTTAGTAAAAAGACTACATCCATGCAATTCATCAAGCATATCATTTAATCTGGGAATTGATGCCTATACTTTACAGTTATCTTGTTTATAGCCCTACAATCAACACACATACGCCAAGAACCATCTTTCTTAGGTACAAGAATAACTGGAACAAAACAAGGACTCAAACTTTCACGTACATACCCTTTAGCAAGGAGTTCACTTACTTGCCTTTGTATCTCTTCAGCCTCCTTTGGATTAGTCCTATAAGCTAGTCGGTTGGGAATGGGCGCGCAAGGAATGAAGTCAATCTTGTGTTCAATCCCTCTAAGTGGTGGCAAACTACTAGGCATCTCCTCGGAAAATAAATCTTCAAACTCTTGCAAAAGCACAACAAAATCACTAGGAAAACAAGGGTTAAGCATGTTAGTAAAGTAACAAGACCCCTTGCACATAAGTACAAGAATAGTCTGGTTAGAGAGCAAAACATTCCTAGCCTCACTTGATCTAACATACAAGCTTACTGATTTGGCTTTTCTCTCTTTTTTTTTCTCTAGGCTGAGTGTTATTCTCTTGCTTTTCACTCAAGCTCTTTTTTTCACTTGATTCTTTTTCAACCTCTGCTTTTGGCCTCTTGCCTTTTCTTTTCAAGTTTGCAATGATCAATAAATACATCTTTTGGAGACAATGGAATAAAAGTAGTTTTTCTACCGTTGTGAGTAAAAGAGTATCGATTTGCATACCCATCATACATTACCCAACGATCAAATTGCCAAGGCCTCCCCAGTAGTAAATCTCCAACATGCATGAATACAACATCACATAAAACATCATTAACATATGTTCCAATAGTAAAAGAAACAAGAGCTTGTTGAGTTACCTGTACTTTCCCATGATCATTCAACCATTGAAGCTTGTAGGGTCGTGGATGTAGTTGTGTCTTTAAATTAAGTCTTTTGATCAGAATGAAACTCACAACATTGGTGCAACTACCGCTATCAATGACAACACTACAAGGTACAGATTGAACAAGACACCGAGTTTGAAATAAGTTCTCCCGTTGGTCTAGGCCGTCCTCCTTAATGTGGGTGTTTAGAGCTCGTCGAGTAACCAAAGATATATGTGTAGGGTCCTCTTCACTAAACTCCCCACTCTCGTCAGTTTCCTCATGTCATCATGTGCCTCGTCATCCGTAACAATTTCTCCCTCCTTGATGGTCATAATTCTTGCATTTGGGTAATCTCTATATATTGTCTACCCCTTAACATCTCCAACACTTTAAATCTCTATTTCGAACATTAGACTTTTCTACTTTTTCTTTCCCTGTTCTAGAAGTCTCCTCTTTCTCAAATTTAGCTTGAGACTTCTCATTAATCTCTTGATTTCTATGCTTATAATCATTCTTACTATCATTTTTCCATGTAGAAGTAGAATTGGGAAAAATTTTAGAAGAATACCGTTTTGATTGTCATTGGATTTGCCTCTCGATTTTAATTGCAATGTGCAACAACTCCTAAATATTAGAATAAGGTTGTAAAGTAGTCTTGTCTGCAATCTCTCTGTTTAACCCATTAAGAAACCGCGCCATGAGAGCCTCCACGTCCTCATCGAGATCAAGTCGATCCATCAATGTATCCATCTCCTTGTAATAATCTTCCACAGATTTGCGTCCTTATTTCAATGCTTGAAGCTTTTGCGCCATGTCTCGTTGAAAA